CAGTTACAAGAGGACAGTCTAAGGGAATGGTTTATTTCTTTACAGCTCACAGACAAATATGAAGGAAAATCCACGTAAGATCTAAGTCTGTGGCGATGGTATATTGCTATAAGTCCGGAGATAGGGGCTAGCTCTATCCATTGGACACAACTGAATAGGTTTTACTTGAGGACGGGGACAGAATCCAGTCTCCTAAGCGCTGTGTTTTGAAAAAGAAACAGGACGGTTTTTAGAAAATAGACAAAACGATCTATAGTGTCCAAAAACATGAATATTAGCAGAAACTCTACATGATGAATATGGGGGTTGTACTTTTTAAAGAAGTATTTCAACACCGAAATATTAGTTTACATTCAGACAGATTCCTTTCCATGCTAATGATTTTTATATATGGTTGTGTTAGTTAAGAATGTAGCCAAATATGTAGGTCAAGAAGGAATTATTACTACTCCTTGTCAGTTCCTTGCAATGCTTTCCCATGTCTTTTCTCTCTCCCAGGCATGTAATGGCGATATTTTAACGATATAAACAAAAATAAACGAGCGTTTGCGACGGGGCTCACCCATCAGATATAACACGTTGCCGTTTCTCAACGTCAGTGTATTGAACAGAGAATTGTAACTTGTCGCTCGTTAGCAGCACACAAGCGAAATCTGAACTTGATATTCAGAAACATGACTTGGTCCGCACGTATTTAGCAACCGGATATTGCGTCGGCCAGTGCCCTCTTAATACTTGTGATTATGCGGTATTTAGCTTGTAATATATTTATCTGGGCCTCTGGCAGTGGCGTAATATTCTGCCTCTAGTCTTGGCGCCAATTAGAATGGCCCTTATAGAGTACGTGATACTTACGGTATGACGGAGCTGATTTCCAGACGTGATTCCGATGATGAAACGTTTTACAGTTTTCCAAGTCCTTATCCGTTTCATTCAAACCAGTAAAATGTCGCCAAGAAATTCGTGTTCAAATTCCGACGGTTCAACAAATGAAGACATCGGTAATTTCCGTAAGTTGAACTGTACCACGCTCGGAGCAAGAAAGTCCCTCCATGCAATGAGGGAATAATACCTCCATTAGGCTACAACCATCTCCTTTCATCAGTCATCATACAATTCGGCGAAGTATAATCTGTATACTAAAATTATCGTAAGGTAACACACACAAAACACTGGAAACATTGTATGACAATTAATATACAATATAAGCCTGTCGAAATGTTATGACAATTACTGGATGTTATAAGAACGTCTGTATTCCCCATTATTTGATAATTTCGAAAGATTTATTGTGACACCACGCCCCTGTACACATTCCAGTGTACTCTGTTCTGAGCACAAATAATTTCAAACGGCACGGCCCTTGTGACTTTTAGGTTGTGTCCACATTAGCCAGCCGAGCTTCGAGCCGAACCCTGTCGTGAGCATTAAACGCGTTCATAGTTGGCGGACATAACTGGGAGCCGCATGGAAAGTTATAACATGTGCTCGCGACTGGGCTCGGTTCGAACCTCGGCTCGCAAATGTGGACACAGCCTTAGGACATGACTCGATTTTCCTTTAACTCTAAAAAAAATCCATAAATCTTAATAACTCTTGACGTACGTATATGCAGACCATTAGTCAAAATATGCACATTGCCGGTACTATATAAATATAGTTATCTCTAGGTCAGTGTTACAGGTCAGTTAGTATATTGGGTAGCCACGGACTGGGCGATCAGGGTTTGACTCCTGCCTAGGGCATAGATTTTCTTTCTGTCGCCGTCCTATTCAGTAGTTACTTGGGACTCTTCCTCTCGCTGGCCAAGAGTGCCACGATCAAGAATGCAAGGAGTTATGCCTCCGCTCCACACCAAGTGAAATTGCAGTGTGCTTAATTAATAAGAGACAACTTTTACTTTTGCATATGTTATAACTACTGGTTTGTTTCTTGATTTATTTTTCGATGTTTCATCTGCTGTGTATGAAACACTCCCTCACACGCGACCTAGTTTCATTTAAAGTGCAGGGCGCCTATTGTTTGCTAAGATATTTTGTTTGTTTTCTCTGTTTGTGCACGGTTCATGGCAGCCTATTCATAGCCCCACAGCATCCAGAGCTGTGCTCATTTCCAGTTCATAGAACAGCAAGCCAGGGCTTCCAAGCAACTGAAGCCGTTAGGTTGTTACGAGCCCATTATTAGGGCGATACACTGTGGGATCCATGATGAACATTTCCGCTTTCCCAAATATTCTGTGATTTATTGCAGTCATTCTAAAATCATCGAGAACACTACAGACCCTAAAAGTAGTGTTACGTGATAAGAATCAGTATGTTTTATTGTCAGATCTTTTTGTTTTTTCTACTGGCCTACACACTACATAAGAAAACAACACAATCTCGGCTTCCTGTCGATATGCATGTATTGGTTTAAACACAAACATGTGTTCAACTTCGTTGTTTAATTCTTTTCTCAAATAAAATGATATCTAGTACGAGTGTGCAGGATACTCGAATAGGTCACTCAAAAGTAACTCAGAAATACGGCTTGTGTTGGGTCCTCAAGATTCTGAACAGACTCTTGACTCTTAACTAGCACCTGAATTGCAGCTTGCTTTTAATTTGCAGTCATCTTGGTGACGCAATTAATTATTGGCGTGTTGATAATAGTTACAGGGTACTAAATATTTAGCTTGCATATCGTGAAATTATTTTAAGGGAAGACGCGGTTCCATTCGACAAGTTATCAGTTGACGAAACAGCTGATGAACGCTGTTGGGTTGATTTTTATTGTGAAATGAATTTTTCACGATTCCAACCATGCACGGTAGAGGGTCCTCCTTGAGCAACTGGTATAGAACACAAGAAGGTTCGTAAAACCACTGCGCTGCACCGCCAATATACTCTCTCTTATATACATCAATACACCCTGCAACCTCTTTTACGTTTTCCTAAGATGCGCTTCCTTTCACCTCCCACTTTGTCCCTGAAGTGGCCTCTCCTTATTAGAGTTTCCAATAAAAGTGTGAATGCCCTTCTATGTTCTTCCTTGTTCACCCTTCTGAGCTTTCCACGCGGTAGCGTAGTTGGTTGAGGCGTTATGCTACAAGCCGGAAGGTCGCGGGTTCAAGTCCCAATGAGGTCATTGGATTTTTTCAATTGACCTAATCCTTCCGGCTGCACTATGGTCCTGGGGTCGACTCAGCCTCTAACAGAAATCAGTACCAGGAATTAATTAAATAATTTTCCTGGGGAGTAAAGCGCGGCCGGCGCGTAAGGCTGACAACCTTACCGCCATCTTTGAGCCGATTGTCTAGAACAGCCGTGTCAAACATGCGGCCCCCATAGCCACAAAGTGCGGCCCCTCAACTTTTAGGGCTAATTGATATTAAAATCAATATTAAAATTTTAGTTGAAATATTTTTTTTTTGTAAAGGCAATTTTCCAACAGACCAGAAGACAAGAAGTCTCACGCAGACATAAATTAACAGGCTGCAGGAAAGTCAATGTTTTGCTATTTCTAACATAATTTCTTGTGTAATCTCTCTCCTTACATATTGAAAAGCTGTTTGATACTTGTCAAAAATGGCATTCTCTTGCTTTTTAAAACTGTAAGATATGTGACTTTAGGTAATTATATTGAAATTATTCCTAAATAATAAATAGAATTAAATTTCCTTGTATCAAAATCTAATGTATATTTCTATTTTTAAGTGCGGCCCTGGACTCTTATTTATAGGACTGAGGTGGCCCTCGGTACAAGTTGAGTTTGACATGCCTGGTCTAGAAAATGTGGGACCCTCAACATCTCACAACCCTATGGGCCTCTACGGCCTGTTACAGGGACAACTTTACTTTTTTTCATTACTTTTTATGGTCGTATTTCCTGAATGACACCAACATATTATTTTCATCTGCGAGTAGTGCTGCAATACAGAACGTACGTTTCCTTAAATCGACGCAGAATATCCGGGCAGTGCTACTTATATCCACTGTCAAGGACCTCAGTTCACAATTTACCTCCCTTGTCCGAAAGAATTCGTACTAAACCTTGCATTACGCGGTAACGGTAGCGGATTAGAAATACTCAGCGCCATGCGAAATTCCTAAGATCTACTTCTCCTCAAACTTGAAATTCTTACTACATAACTGTGTTGTATACATAAGCGTATCAGAATGTTCGATATTGTACAGTGAAAAGTTTTCTTCACACGAGCAGTAAATAAGTAGAGCTGTGTGCGTAATCTTGTACATAAACCCATTTCGTCTAATGTTGCCTTTCATTTCTCCTTCCATTTATCTCCATTCTGATCAGGTTGTTATATCATAACCATATTTTTATTATAAAAGTGATCAATAATCATCGCTGTGTCTTCACCTGGCAACGTCATAAGGTGAACACTATGTAAAGTGACTGAGATAAAGAATATTAGGCACTGAGCAGGCTAGACTAGCGGTAACGGCCCAGACTTTCATTCAGGAGGTGCTCGGTTAAAGCATCTGCACACCTGATATCCTTACTTGGGTGGTTTCGTGGGTGTTGTCAGCCCCTCTAGGCAAATGCTGGGATAGTACCTCGATTGGGCTACGACCGGGTTCCTTTAAAATCCTTTTCAATCCGTCATTTATGTGTCAACCTATCATTCAGTACTATAAAATCTAGCTGCTGACCGTATAGTAAAATAAACCCACAAAGGAGAAAGAATAAAAAAAGGCATTTGTAAACTTCATAAGTTTGCAATAAACAATGTTTCATTAGTGATTCATTATAGCAATTTCGAGTACAAGTGATGTGTGGCTTATAACACTTTCTACAGGTTCAGTTATACCGACAGATATTTCCATTCTAAGGATAGTGGAAAGAGATCAGGGACATTTTGAATATGACTAAGAAGGAGCATTGAGCACTCTACAAGCAGCAAGTTTGCACTGATAATAACAATAAAATACGGAGAAGAGTGGGCGTTTTTACTAAGACTTGAATGGGGAACTTAATGCGATACAATTTCATTGTTGCAGGCTGTGGGCCACGTGAGCGGGTGCCACATCAACCCAGCCGTCACGTGCGGATTGTTCATCTCCGGACACGTCAGCATTCTGAAGGCCCTCTTTTACATCATCGTTCAGTGCATCGGTGCAGTTGCCGGAGCCGCTGTGTTGGAGGTATGGAGTCGGCAGCTGCTTTACGCCAGCGCACTCAGCGCCAGAACCTCTTAATCTTGTTCTTGAGATTCTCCAACCTTTGACACGCACTAAGATTGAGAACGCTACCCTTAAAGCAAGCCTCATTCTTAAACAGAACAGAGAAGGAAGTCTGAGGGTTAGCTTCTCATATGAAGCATAGGTAAATGTAAATTTGCCTTTCTGCTTAATTAATTAAGTATTACGCCATGAAGACATATGGAGGAGTAGAAGTAGAGCTCCACCATTCTTGACCTCGGAAATGGATATAGGTGAGCGGTCGTCTTCACGCTCCGGCCGCTTTAACCCGGTACCCATTAGATAGGAGGCTGAGTGGGCCCCAGAGCCGGTCTGAGCAATGGGAAGTCACTCGCTCACTCATGGAGCTGGGCCCTTCTTGAGAAACTGCAAATTATGCAACTACTCAAGAACTTCCAAGAATTTTAAGGAACCCGAAAGTTCATTACGGTGTTCACAAGAGCCCTCCGGCGGTCCTTATCCTGAGCCAGATCTATCAAATCCATAGAGAAACATTTCTTTTTGCTGCTGGGACTCGAACCCCAGCTGTCTATCCAGTAGCCCGTCGCTGTACCGACTGATATATATGAAACGCATGAAGTATAGTACAAAGTATTTCAGCTTCAGAAACTTTTTCCTGCTAGTATTGATCACTTTTTATATGTAAGATAAGGTGGAAAGAAATCAATTAAGTTAATAATGATTTATCGTAGACTGTGAAAGAATTTTTAGGTATATCCCTTTCAAGATGGTAACAACATATGTAGGATTTCTGTTTTTCATAGACCTTAAACTCGTCTTTATCTCACAGTATAGATCTGTAGAGCACATTTAATAACCTTCATCCTTTGCTTAAATTACGACCCACTATCAGTTCACGAGCCTAGTCCGTTACTCCTGTTCGGTGCATTAGGCACAAGATCACCTTGTGCAGACGAGCTAAGTAGGAGAACACCGGAGCTGCCCTCGTATTGCTCCATAGTGGCATGTATCAATATGACAACTCACGTAGTGCAACGTGGCTCCTCAGGACGGGTTTCGGAATCAGGTGGTGAGGTTGTGGTTATCCGTATCGACGGGTCGTTTGAATAAGCAATCCGTCTTCCTAGACGAGAAACAACAAATGTCAAAAAGAGGATCCTTGCAACAGAAATTTAACCTGTCAATTGAAATACTTAAGTAATAAAGTAAACGTATCCATGTAACAGGCCGTGAAAGCCCATAGGGTTGTGAGATGTTGAGGTTCCCACATTTTCTAGACAATCAGCTCATAGATGGCGGCAAGCTTGTCAGCCTACGCGCCGGCCGCCCTTTACACCCAAGAATATCCCAAGGATATTCCTGGTACTAATTTCTGTTAGAGGCTGAGTCGACCCCAGGGCCATAGTGCGGCCGGAAGGATTAGGTCAACTGAAAAAAATCCAATGACCTCATCAGGACTGGAACCCGCGACCTCCCGGCTTATACCATAGTGCCTCAACCAACTACGCTACCGCGTGCACTTAAAGAAACTAAGATAAAATGTATATGTTGTGCATAAAAGGTACATATGAGATCAGACACAAGCTTTCATTTTATTGCTAGTGGGGCGGCACTAAGACCCTTGTACTGCAGCCACTTCTGGCCTATTGTACCAGCCCCAGATGATGGGTGAGGGTGATTGTGGAGCAATTGGTGGAATGAAGAGTGGCAGGGAAAACCGAAGCACTCGAAGAAAATCTGTCCCAGCGCCACTTTGTCCACCACAAATCCCACTTGACCAGATCCGGGTCGCCGAAGTCTTTAGTCACGGAGCCAGGGCTCTTGTCAGTACACGAGCGTCCAAACTGTTATACATTTTAGATATTTCTGAGCACAGTCTCATATAAAATGGAAAGAAAGTTAGAGATGCGCACAAGAACACATGGAGAAGCGCGTAATGAGAGCTTAAGCCTATATTTCCTTACAAAATATGTAAAGCTGAACAGCGTGGATTTATACGGACATACATGGTATGTAATTTGGGCAAGGTAACGATGTGGAATCATTGGGGGATATGTTGCTATTGTTATTCGATTGCTGAAATATTGCCCTCCGACAGACAGATACCAAATTCGCCTATTGGTTTATGGGTTTGATTGATTTGTTTACTTGACTTCGCATTGATTCAGCTGTACTGGTTACTGGCAAGCATTCAAGCATTCAAGCGTCAAGGGAACCGACACAGTAAGACATTAAAGCGAGGTAATTTGTCGTAGCATTGCCTCCACGTCATGGTCTCGGGGTACGTGACGGGAAGTGGCACAGGACGCAAGACGGTTCCCGCTCACCTCATAGTTAGGAAGCCGGATATTTCGACCCACCTACTGATTTCAGTTCACTAATTACTTTATTGCCGGTCGCGGTAGCCGAGCGGTCCAAGGCATGTACTGTCTTCGCTCGCTTGGAAACCGGGATTATGAGTTCGAATCCCACTCAGGGCATGGATGTTTGTGTGCGTTTTTCTGTGTTTGTCTCCTTGCGACGAGCTGATCACTCGCCCAAGGAGTCCTACCGAATGTCTAAGATCTAAAAAAACCGAAGTGAACGTAGTTCATTGAGGTAGGCCTAGGCCCACTGGGGCTGTAGCGCCAAGGAAAAAAAGAATTACTTTATTAGTTTTTTCTGGATATTATTTCTACGTCAGGAGCCGGGATAGCTCAGTCGGTATAGCGACTGGCTACGGGCTGATGACCGAGGGTTCGGAGTGCAAGTGCCGATAGGGTCAAGAATTTTCCCTTCTCCGTATCGTCCAGACCGGCCCTGGGATTCACCCAACCTCCTATCCAATTGGTACCAGGGGTTCCTTTCCCCCTGGGGGTAAAACGGCCGGGGCGTGAAGATGACCACTCACCTCCTGCTAGTGCCGAGGTCAAGAAAATGTAGTTCTACGCATCCAATCCCCCACAGGTCTCCATGGCGTAGTGCTTAATCATTTAAGCACAGGAACAACTTCTCCTTTTTTATTATTTCTATCTCACCGGCTCTGTGGCCTAGTGGTCAGAGTTCCTGGCCACAGATCCAGGGGTTCCGGGTTCGATTCCCGGCGCTACAGGATTTTCTGGGTAGTAGTGGGTCTGTAACGGGATCCATTCAGCCTCGTGAGGATAACTGAGGAACTACTTGAATATAAAAGTAGCGGCTTCGATCTAGAAAACCGAAATTAACGGTCGTGAGGATTCGTTGCGCTGACCACGCGACACCTTTCATCCGCTAAAGTTGGCACTAACTTCGCCAACAAGCGGTGGTCGCTCGGTTGATATAGTTTGCTTGTGGACTAAAGCCACAGATATTGTTATCAAGATTATTCCAGTATTTGTTTAGGTGCAATGATTTCTACCACAATAATTGCGTGTAAAACTTAAAACACAAGTGATAACACAGCAGATCAACTCGCAGTTCAGCTCTTTCCTCTGTATAGCGATGACGACAAATACGTAGTTTTGCGGAGCATAAGAAGTTGCAGACGGATGTCTAGGTCAGGTAAATAGCTGCAGAGCTGCATCGTTGGTGACCTCGGTACGATGTGCTACTGTTTGCCCTGGCTTTCATTATGCAGCACAGCACTTTCTTGCTTTCTCTCACGGTCATTCATGGACCTTGTCCAATGTTGCGGTCACTCGAGCGTACAAACCACATCCTTCTTACTGTCGGCTGTTGAGAGCCAAAGCGATCCATCGCAATACAAGCAGTCACACCCCCCATTATCTGATTTCACTTACTACGGCGTTAACATTTTGTTTGGTGTACTGAAGTATTCTAAACCACAAAACTGTTGCTGTTTTAAAAGGCAGGATATGATCTTGTATGATATCCTTCTCTACACTGCTCCCCGTTTCTCCTCGGTTAGCTATGAGATGACAATCAGGTCACAGTGCAAGAGTGATGTATGTACACAGTTGCTTCTATGATTGACAATCATTTAATTCATCAATCGATCACCATTCGAAGCGACAGCGGAAACAACTGAACGCTGGCCAATGAGAATATTGGTAATATTCATTAGAGCAACAAGAGATAAGAAATTTCATCTTGTCATTAGAGTTGATTTTAAGAAAATCAGAAGAAAAACGTTCGATACTTCATTTAGGTTATACAATCATAAAGCTGGAATTCGTTAACGACCGACCCTGTGAATAATCTTTGTAAGGAGATAATCTGAAAGCATTAGGCCGTCACCACACGAATATAACAATTTTACATCACTGGCGGCTGCTCTGTGGTCTAGTTCTCAAGAGTTTCTGGCTACGGATTCAGAGATACCGGGATCGATTCCCAGCGCTACCAGATATTCTTAGAAGTAGTGGGTCTGGAACGGGGTCCACTCGGCCTCATGAGGATGACTGAGGAGATATTTCAAGGAAATAGCGGCTCCGGTCTAGAAAACCGAGTTTAATGCCTGTAGGACTCCGTTGCGCTGACCACGCGACACTCTCTATCCACTAAAGTTGGCACTAACTTCACCGACAAGCGACGGTCGATCGGTCGGTATAGTTCGCTTACGGACTATAGGCCACGGAGTTTTTTTTTTACGTTTCTTATTTTACTGCCGTTGTAATAATCTGCAAAACTTTTTGCGGATAGAGGGTGTCGCGTGGTCAGCGTAACGAATCTCCACGGCCGTTAATCTCGGTTTCCTAGACGGGAGCAGCTACTTTTTCATTCAAGTAGCTCCTAAATTATCCTCATGAGGCTGAATGGACCCCATTCCAGACCCACTACTTCACAGAAAATCTGTTAGCGTCGGGAATCGAACCCGGAACCTCTGAAACTTCGCCGACAAGCGGCGGTCACTCGGTTGGTACAGTTCGCTTGCAGACACGGAGGATTTTTGTTTTGTCATAATCTCATGACAACGCAGTTTGGAGCTGTAATTTTGACCATGTTAGCATAATTTCATTAAGTAAATTTTAATTGACTTTCAATTATCAATGCTGCATCTCTCGGGCCATATCCTCGTTCTTTTGAATGCCGCACAAGAATTACACGCACGCAAGTAGAAAATCTAAGAATACGTGTATGCTTAACTGTCACCACAATTCTAATAGACTAGAGACGTGTAGTCTAGGATTTACAATTAAATCATGCAGTTTAAGTGTAATATTATAACTTCCTTATACCTCCATATCAATTCTCCTGTAAATCCTGTTTTCTTGATTTATTGCATTCATTGGTTAGGAAATGTTTCGCTTGAATGTGGTATGTGCAGCCAGAAGACAGATGATATGGCGCCAGTATGCGCCGGAAATATTATTGTACGATGTACGCTTCCATCGCAGCTTTTAAATCAACTAGCAAATCCACGAAACTTGGTACGCATGTCTTGCCGTCCAAGTGCTTTCAATTTCTTAGAATAATTGACCTAAATAGCTCTCCAATGGAGCACATTAAGTCTATAATTAGTTTCGCTAAGCGAACATGTGTTGTGGTCATTCTCATACAAATTTAACAAGTACACGACGACAATGGGACAGATAAAACTTACATTATGCCCCGTATATGTAACTTTGTGTGGCGATGGCACAAATCTTAAAGGTACAGGTTAAAGAAAAATAAAACTATCCCTGTAACAAGCCGTGGAGGCCCACAGGGTTGTGAGACGTCGAGGCTCTCATATTTTCTACAAAATCGGCTCACAAGTGGCGGTGAGGTTGTGAGCCTTACAAGCCGGCCGCTCTTTACCTCTAGGAAAATTTATGGTACTCACTTCTGTTAGAGGCTGAGTAGACAGCAGGGCCATAGTGCGGCTGGAAGGAATAGGTCAGTTGAAGTCAACGGGAATAGAAACCGCGACCTTCCGGTTTGTACCATAGTGCCTCAACCTACTCGAGGTAAACTTTACAATCAAAAATAAGCCGAATTGTATTATATAGATTCTTGGAATGTTAATTTTTTTTTTCCGTTCTGTATTAGATGCAGAAAATAATATATACATAGAACAAGAGCTTGGGGACATGCGGTAGCGTAGTTGGTTGAGGCACTATGCTAAAAGCCGGAAGGTCGTGGGTTCAAGTCCCGATGAGGTCACTGGATTTATTTTCAATTGACCTAATCCTTCCAGCTGCACTAGGCCCTGGGGTCGACTTAACCTCTAACAGATATGAGTACCAGGAATTAATTAAATAATTTTCCCGGGGAGTAAAGCGCGGCCGGCGCGTAAGGCTGACAACCTTACCGCCATCTTTGAGCCGATTGTCTAGATAATGTGGGACCCTCAACGTCTCACAACCCTATGGGCCTTCACGGCCTGGTACAGGGATAGCTTTACCTTTTTACATACAAGGGATGACCACTTTAGAGTATGGACTGTGGTTTCGAGGAACGTAATGCAATTAATTACGACTGGTTCAGAATTTAAATTCTCAGCCGAAAGGTTAAATGCCTTTCCTTGAGTGCTGCAGGTAATCATGACATTGCCGTTGCATCAACAGGTTGTAATGAGTTTTGTTCCCACGGCAGTTCATGCACTGCACATTAAGATTAAAATATTGATTGGCTGTAAAAGGACTGCGAGGTTAGATGTTTGTGATAAATCATCAAATCAACTATGTATCTTGCATTGAGTAATGACCGGAGGTGGGGGCCTTATTGTAAGATTATTATTCTTGTAGCGACTTGTTGCATGTTAGGGCTATCCAAAGTCCTGTCTCTGGAGGGTGATATTAAGTGAATCAAAATGCCTGTATTTCAGCCTCCTTAGGAAAGAGCCAGAGTAATCGGGGAGTCCCATCCAATGAGCTTGATTGTGAAGATATTTCGATATAGCGTTTAAGCCACCGCAAATCTAGGATTCATGTGCATCACTGATGATGGCACCCACCGGAAGACACGAGAGTCCGTAAGAATGACGATAAAATTGCAAATTAGAGCTTCAAAAATAAATCTTCAGACCACAGGAAGAATAAAGAAAGTGAAGCCGGCCCTGTGCTTAACTAATTAAGCGCTACGACATGAAGACGTATGGGAGAGTGGATGTGTGGATCCACGTACTGTTGCCCTCAGAACTAGTTGGAGGTGACTGGTCAGCTTCATGCCTTGCTCGGTTTAACCTTGCGGAAAAGGCATCCGGTAGCCATTGGATAGGATAGTGGGTAGGCCGTAGAACAAATGTGGACAACTTGCAGAGAACAAAAAAGTTGCCCCTACCGGGACTCGAACTCCGACACGTCGCAGTCCAACCCCTAGTCAGTCGCTATACCGCCTGCGCTAGGGATATGAAAATAAAATTACAACCTTAAAACAAAATTATATCCAATGATGGAAATTTTCGGTTCGTACAAACTAACATAATGTATGATAATAACAGTAACTTCTAAATAAGATAGCGAGGACTGGGTCTAGTGGCCAGAGTTAATGCCTACAGATCCAGAGGTCACGGGTTCAATGCCCGGCGCTACCAGATTTTCTGAGAAGTAGTGGGTCTGGAACGGGGTCCGCTCAGCCTCGTGAGGAAAATTGAGGAGCTATTTCAAGGAAATAGCGGCTCCGGTCTAGAAAACCGAGATTAACGGCTGTGGGGATCCGTTGCGCTGATCACGCGACACACTCTATCAGCAAAGAATTGGCACTAACTAAGCCGACAAGTGGCGGTCGCTCGGTCGATATAGTTCACTTGCGGACTACAGGCCACTGCGTTTTTTTGTTGTTGTTTGAGGCCTGTGTATTTATGAAAGGGGACAGGAAGACGGAAGAAGCATTGGCGGGGATTGCACTACGTTACCGGGCGTCACGGCACTGCGTCATGAAAAGATCACAGACAATAGCTTCAGGATTAGCAGTTAAGATGAAGAGAACAGGGAAGCAGGAGATGGAACACAAGCCACAGGGACGAAGAGATTCTGGGGGCATGATCTGACCATGGAGAGAGAAACTCTAACAGGGTTTAGGAATAATTAGTTAAATCAATGCTACATAATTCGTAATTATATATTTTTCTTTTATATGATTGTAAATCCTTAACTGACACTGAAATGTTCTAAACCAAAATAATAAAGACGTTACGTACTCATACAAACTAAAATTCGTAATTGTTTTCCCTGGATGTTATTAGTTCGATTAGACTAGATTAGAATTAGAATTATCAAGTCAAGGAGGATGAGGTGGGCAGGTCATGTAGCACGCATGGGGGAGACGAGTAATGCGTATAGGATATTGGTGGGAAGCCAGAAGGAAAGAGTCCACAGGGAAGACCATGGCGTAGGTGGGTGGACAATATTAGAATTGATCTTAGAGAGATAGGATGGGATGTTATGAATTGGATAGATGTGGCTCAGGATAGGGACCAGTGGAGGGTTCTTGTGAACACGGTAATGAACCTTCGGGTTCCATAAAATGCTGGGAAATTCTTGAGTAGCTGCTGAATTGGTGGCTCCTCCAGAAGGGCTCAGTTCCATAAGTAAGTAAGTAAGTTAGACTAGATTAGATTGGATTACGTTAGACTTAATGATTTCAAGGCTGATCACAGTGGCCGCGCTGTAGACAGCATGACGTGTCTTCGCTCACTCGAACGCTGGGATCGTGAGTTGGAATCCCACTCAAGGCATGTATGTCGCGTTTATTCTCTTTGTATTGTCCTGTGTATGTAGCGGTCTTTCGTCGGGCCGATCCCCAGTCCAAGGAGTCCTCCCGACTGTGTATAGGATTTCGAAACCGAAGTGAAACGAAGCTTTTCACGGATGCCCTGTGACCCAAAGTGAGAGCAACATAAAAGAGATTTCATGTTTTCAAAACAAATGAGTGATAATTTTGATCTTGTTAATGGGTGATACCACCATGTAGATATAAGATGCATGTCCAGCATTCTTGCTGCTTCCATCTTCGGGGTGAAGTTACTGCCCAATGATTCCTGCTGATACTGTTCAAATTGGGGAGTTTTCACCGATGTGTCGATCTGTGCTCAAAATTATACAAATGAAACTCTTGCTTAGTTGTCCTGTAGTTTCTTCAAGGGGTTACAAGCGGTTATTAAGGGCTCGTATCAGCAGAATTTGTTTAGCTTCACTCGAAATTCCTGTTTGCCGCAAAGACAAAGTGTTCCTAGCTTTTTACATAAATCCCGCTAAAACGGATGTGATGATGGTGATGATGATGATGATGAATTAGCAGTGTCACGGAAACTAAACACTGGGCGATATTCGGTCGCTACGTCTGTTTTAGGTTCTGACCCCGAAAGACGTGAGGAACTCGCTCGGCATGACGACCATCAGTGGCCTCGTGACTCCGCTTCAGGGTTTCTTCATGGAAGCGCTGATCACTTTCGTTCTGGTGCTCACTGTGGAGGCTGTGTGTGATGACAGGCGAACCGACGTGAAGGGATCGGCCCCCCTGGCCATCGGCCTCTCCATCACCACCTGCCACCTTGGAGCAGTGAGTGTCTCATCCTGCTTATTGCACTAATGCTTTAGTCAGACGACAAACTTTCTTATTTACTAACATGGTCACCACAAAAACATCGATGTTTTGAAAACATAAACAATATATGCGGTCTTAAGGATTTCTGCGAATTCCATTAATTCACGATAGAAAATGTTGGTCGAGTACCGTGGAGAAGCATTCAGAATTCGTCGTCAACTAGACCTTATCACCAGTAACCAGTTACACATTTATTGCTTTGCCACACCGCTGATATTCTGATAAATGTCGTACTTGTCCACAGCACATGAAATATAAATTGTCACAATTTTATAAACTGTGATTATAGATGGAGTTTGGATTTGATGATTGGAGCTATTGGACTCTTTGATTCAGAGCGTGACTACAATTTACAGTTCAACATTACACACACACTAGTCTCCACGTGACGTCTTCATTAACCATTGCTCGGTAGCATCCTCAAATGCAGGACGTTCCCTTTCCTCTGTGTTCTCAAACTATCCCTGGCCTCGGCTACCAGTTTCTTGCGGCAACAGCTCACAACGACTCAGCAGGTCTCTAACTCTCTCACTCACCAACCATCTAACTCAACTCAACTGACTCACTAACTGTCCCGCTTATAACATCTCAGAACGGACCGCACATAAAACACCGATCCTCTGTTGCTGTTTAAGAGCTGTTGCCTAGTAACGGCCGTTTTCTAGTTGTTTGTTTCGCTGTCGTTGCCTAGGAACGGGTTAAATACCACAATATTTTTATAAATTAATTATATGTATACATGAACATATCCAACTATTTCTGGGTTAATTTTAGTGGCCAAACGTCTAATATCGACATTGTGCAAGAATTATGTACAAGAATTCATGTTGGTGAAGGTTTTAGCAAATGAAAGCCAAACTCGCGTGTTCATACCAATGTCACACTCATAAGAACAAATTATTACTGTGTTAATAACAAGGCTGGTTACGCAATACGAACAACGGTGTTGTGACAGCCACACAGACCGAAAGATTCCGGGCAGATTCCGCTTGCTGTTCGTGAACTTAAGAATCGTTGCTAATCAGCACTAACGGGGCAGGATGGAGCAGTAGACACCTGGTACCGTGCTTACCATGACAGTGACGTTTCCCTTTATTCGGATACAACAACACACAATCTAGCTTACGACGGCTGACCTAATAATTAGCTTTGTAACTGTACGCTGTCTACTAGCTAGCGGCTAATGTGGGTCAGTGTCGAGGCCATGGAATAAAATGGAAAATACTGTTCTTTGCCCACGAGACCACAGCTTTAAGAGTCTCCGAGCATGTGTCTACGTTAACACGTAACGTTTACTGAATGATTTATGTATATTCCGCTTGTTCTGCCCAAATTTGTGAGCTAAAAAGCCACAAATGTTGGGCTGCATGAAATCCCAAAGGAAGCATGCTTACAGTTTGGAAGTCAAACTCCTTAGGAAAGTTTAGACTTTTGCTGTAAATTGCATATTCCTCATGTTTCTGTATATTTCTTTTTCCTTGGCACTACAGCCCCAGTGGGCCTAGGCCTACCTCCATGAACTTCTCCTTTCACTTCGGTTTTTTTAGATCTTACACATTCGGTAGGACTCCTTGGGCGGGTGATCAGCTCGTCGCAAGGCCTCTACCTGTACACAAACACAGAAAAACGCACACACACAAACTAAACATCCATGCCCTGAGTGGGATTCGAAGCCATGATCCCGGTTTCCAAGCGAGCGAAGACAGTACATGCCTTAGACCGCTCGGATACCGTGCCCGGCTTCTGTACATTTACATACTCATAATTCTAAAGTAACAGTACAAAATATTATATTGAAACACAGCAAGAACGAAGATGTGTACACAGTTTCCAAATATAGTATTTGAAAATTGGTCCAGATGCTCATCATTTTCAAAATTTAGACTAACCACTGCCACTTTCTTGTTAGGAAGGTTAAAGTAAAATATACTCTCATGCAATATAATAATTTTTATGGTGCAGTCAATTTATTCTCACGTTTGATTCTTTAATTACTGTTATTATCCGCAGATCCGTGTTTACTACTCTCATCCTCTGTATGTCAACTTGTGCTACTTTATTTCGGGTCGTGAGAGCGTGCGCTTTTCTTCTACGTGTGGCAGTCTACTTCAGAACTGCATACTTGGCGGTATTAGCTTATTTAATGCAGGTCAGACTTGACCAGTAGGTTACCTTTATTGTCCAGCAACTGCCCAGTCGTTTGCTGCAAGTAATGAAACGCGCATCGCGTGTTGTTTGCATATACGAGTAGTGTTCAAAATGGAATTACACAGTGACAAATCTCCAAATATAATCTAATAATTTCCTAAAATCAATTTTGATAAAACAAGAAACAGAAACATATCTGCCACGTGAATGTTACAATTACCCTTCTAATAGCGTAGTTGATCGAGGCACTATGTTACAAGCCGGAAGGTCGCGGATTCGAGTCCCAATGAGGTGGATGTTTTAAACTGCTCTAATCCTTCCAGCCACACTATGGCCATGGGGTCGACTCCGCCTCTAACAGAAATGAGTACCAGGAATCCTCCTGGGGTTAATGGGCGGCCGGCGTGTAAGGCTGACAACCTTACCGCCATCTGTGAGCCGACTGTCTGCAAAATGTGAGAGCTTCGACGTCTCACAACCCTATGGGCCTTAACGGCCTGTTACAGGGATAGCTTTATCATCAACAACAGCAAGTTAAATACGGACTTGCAACGTTGTATTGATATATGTCACAAATATGTCTAGGATAGAATGCTGTGGTTACGTAATTCATATCCGGGAGGTTATGTATTTAATTCCCGGTCACGAGACCGAATGTTATGACTGGGTATTTCCGTCGGTAACCACAATTTCTCCAAGAAAATTCTCAGACGGTAGTATACAATAGCCTCAAACCCTTCATTCCATGTATTTATGAAACAATTGTTACCATTCAGTGTTTTGTTTGAGGAGATATAGCTTTTAGTTTGAAAAATCGTCGTTAAATGAGCTAAGTAATAAATGAATAAATCACCTCTGTTGGTAGCGATGTTTCATAATCGGTTCTCAGAAACACGTTACGGACAGTCTAAACAACTTGACAGCCTTTATTTAGACAGCCACGTCTGCGTATCGGCAGACCTCGCTTTAGGGCAGACGTTTTCATATCTGTCAGCAACGGAAGACTGCTGTAGTTGATCTGTCGTCGCACATTCTTCGGGCTATTTCATTTCTACGACGTTGATTCACAATCCGTTTACAGTTTTTAATAGTACAAAGGCGGACTACAAGTTTCTCCATGGACAGATTTTCAGAATTATAAAAAATTAGGTCCCTATATTTTACCTGTTCCAATCTACTCTTCCGCCGGTCACGGTAGCCGAGCGGTCTAAGGCATGTACTGTCTTCGCTCGCTTGGAAACCGGGATCGTGGGTTCGAATCCCACTCAAGGCATGGATGTTTGTGTGCGTTTTTCTGTGTTTGTCTACAGGTAGAGGCCTTGCGACGAGCTGATCACCCGCCCAGGGAGTCCTACCGAACGTGTAAGATCTAGAAAAACCGAAGTGAACGGAGAAGTTCATGGAGGTAGGCCTAGGCCCACTGGTGCTGTAGTGCCAAGGGAGGGAAAAAATCTACTGTTCCAACTAACATTTCGAAGATTGATGTAAAGTAATCATTACCTTTAAGAAGCTTTGAATATTTATTGTTTTCTTTTATTGTTAGTGGGGTGGGACTAAGTACCTTGTACTGCTGCCACTTCTGGCCTATTGTACCAGCCCGAGATGATAGGCGAGGGTGATTGTGGAGCAATTGGTGGAATGAAGATTGGCAGGGGAAACCGAAGTACTCGGAGAAAACCTGCTCCAGCGCCACTTTTTCCACCACAAATCCCACTTGACGAGACCCGGGATCGAACCCGGGCCGCCGCGGTGGTAAGCCAGCGACTAACTGCTTGAGCTATGGCGCAGTTATTTATAAGAAAGAGTGAACCATGATATCAAGTAAATGGAAGACAGAAGAACTACCAAAAAAATGCCATCCAAATAAAGAATCATATGGGAGCGGGAAAAGTAGCATTTATGCTGGGACGAAATCTGGTACTATGGTTTGTCGATTTTCCATGTTGGGACTAATTATGTTAACACACTTCTAAACGTAGGGTCGCATATAGTAATTTCCTCAACGCCAGCCCATGCCTTCAGACTACCGCAAGCTCCACACAAGAACTGCACACTGTTGCAGTGTATCTGTAATGTGCCTGACAATACCGTGATGTAATACAGTCGCTGTTGTGAACTGAGTATTCAGAACATATTAATTCTGCACCATTAGCACGCAATGGTTACTGTTATTGCAACATGGACAGAAGAACTGTGCTGCCGGCTGCATCAAGAGCCAGTACGCTAACTTGTCGTTAATCAGCACAGACGAAATACACGTGCGCCTGAACTGTTTCAAGTGCTATGTCTCTTCCAGCTCCGCTTTGTTCGAAAACCTGAAGGGAAGAGATCATTAGGAGAATTTGTTCTAAACGGATAATACTAAAATGAATCCTAAAAGAGTAGGCTGGTTGTCAAAGTGTTGGCTGTATTAATCTGGTTCATAATATGGTCCTTGTGAACATGGTAACAAATGTTTCCATTAAAGGCGGAAAATTTATTGCTAACTGGCTACCATCCATTTCTGTTACATGCTGTTGCAAGTTGAAATGAAGCACTTCAAAAATCAGTACACAATTTGTGGAAATTAATGAAAGATTTTGGATGATTCTTAGTTTACTTAACGACTGAACTGGAAGGGGTGTGGGTGTAAGATGTCATGACCTCTAGAGAGGTTGACTACTACATCAGCATATTCGTGAATGGACGGAAGGAAGCCTTGGGACAGTTTGCCTCCGTGCACAGAACCAATCCCTGGCCTTCCAAAACACGAAGCAGGGAACGTAATAAGTCGTAACAATACATTTAATAATAAACAAACCATTTTA